GGGCAGTTAGCTCCAACAACATAGCCTCACCTGTCATCTTTGACCTCCTCAACTCCAGTGAACTTCACTTCCACTCCACCCTTCCATGGCTACTCACCACCCAGAATGCTCAACTGCTAAACCTTACATCTCAGTGTCCCACATTCTAACCAGAACCACAGCTTACAGTCCTCCCTCTCTCTCTCATCTCAGTATGTGTTTGTTTCAATCACATGAAGATTCCCAGTCCTTAGCTCCAGCACTGTCCTTAGACCTGGGCAAGAGAGCCCTCCCACCCTGGGCCTCATACTTTAGAGGGCCCCACTCAAACCCTTCTCAGATTGTGCCTATTCCTATGGGGTGAGGAGTCTGCAGGGCCAAAGAAATATACCCACATGCTCACCCTATCCATAGCTGGACCAAACTCTGGATACAGAAGATCTGTCTTCCCCACTGAAACAGTCCTGAGCTTGCTTCTGGGGCCTGCATGGATTTCTTTCCCAGAGTCTTTTCTCTTGAGCATGGATTGAACTGCCAGTGACACACCCCTAAGCCCACGGAGTGGTCAAGGAGTGTGTGTATGTGAGGGGGGATAGAGTGGACGTGTGGGTTGGGGTGTACCCCTCACACTGTGGGACAGAGCCTGGGGCAGGAAAAGAGGGAATGTGAATCTCGGGCTGTCTCTCCCTATGTGACCTCATCTGGCACAGGCAGCAACAGGACTGAGTCCTAATAAGAAACCTTCAAAATTTGCCTGGCTGGATTTCAGAACTGCTATGGACTCCTGTGTATGTCCTATTTACCCCTTTTTGACCAGGGTGTCTTTAGCAGTCATCCTGTGCCTATCCTACCCCATGTATGTTGGACGTGGGGGGCGGGGCAGACAGCTTGTCTCTTTAGTTCATAGGTCTTCAGATCAAGAGGAACTGTACTGGAGTTGCTGTCCTTAAGGAAATAGACCTGAGAAGCCTCTTGCTGATGCTATAAAGGCTGGAGGTTTGGGAGAGGTCTTGGGAGGGAGTTAATATATTTTCCATGCAGGAGAAATGTAAATAATGTGACCAGATTGTGGTGATTTAAAATGTATCCACAAATTCTTTGACACTCCTTTCAAAATGCAGAGCCTAATTTCTTTCCTCTTGAGCATGGACTGGCCATAATATCCCCTAACAAACAGAATAAGGCAGAAATGACAGTATGATTTCTGAGGCTGGATCATATAAGATATTGAGGCTTTGGTCTCTCTCTCTCTCTCTCGGATCACCTGCTCTGGGAGAAGCCAACTGCCATGACATGAGGACACTCAAGCAGCCCTAGGGAGAGATGCACATGGTGAAGAACTGAGGCCTCTTGCTAAGAGCCACATGAGGGAGCCATCTCGGAAACAAATCCTATAGCACAGCCAACCCTTCAGATGACTGTAGCCCCAGCTAACATCTTGACTGCAATCTCGGTGGGAGGCCCTGAGCTATTATGCCAATTTCTAACCCACAGAAACTTTCAGATAATAAAATGTTTGTTGTTTTAAGATATTAAAACATTCCACTCACTGCTCTCCCCCTTTGGCTTCCAGGAAGGTACTCCCTCCTGAATTTTCTTTTAGTCTCCTGGCTAGTCGGCTTGCCCCTGGAAGACCAATACTCCTAAAGGCTTCTACTATCTTTATTGCTATCCCATCTCTTATTGACTTTAATCACAGCCATGGATAGTCATAATTAAAACTAAAATTTTCATGCCAGTGTCTCCTACCCTTTCTCCTAGGCTTCAGTCGTCCACTGGACAACTCCATTTAAAGATTTTATTTATTTATTTGACACACAGAGAGAGAGAGCACAAGCAGGGGGAGCGGCAGAGGGAGAGGGAGAAGCAGGTTCTCCACGGAGCAGGGAGCCTGATGCGGGGCTCGACCCAAGCCAAAGGCAGCCACTTAACTGACTGCATCACCCAGGCACCCCTGGATAACTCCATTTAGATGTGGCCCCGGCTCCTCATACTTATCTGAAATGGAATCATCCTCTTTCCTCTGACTTCCTCGTCCTCCAACCTCACACCTGTCCCTCTTCCTGTAGCCCTTACAACGTTGAGCGGAACGTTTTTCCTTCCAGTTGCTTAGGTCAGAAATGTTGCTCCCAGCTATACTAGATTGTTCTTCACTTGCTGCTTTTAGAACCTTCAGAATTTGACTCCACCCAACATCTTTAGCCTCATCTCTCAACTTTGCCTACAAGTTTTTCCAGCTTTACTTAATTACTTGTAGTTGCCAAATGATTCTTGCCACTTGAAGCACGTATGGCTTCGCACACGCCTCTTTCTAGAATTTTGCTTTTCTAGTCCTTGACCTATTGGCTTTTTAATTTTGTTCAGTTCTCCTTTCAGACTTTAGGGCAGGTGTCTTCTCAGTTTGACAATGCCCACAAATCTCTGTGCTTGCATTTAGCACTGTGTTTGCAATTCCTGGATTCCCTATCCTTTGTCATGGGACAGCTTTCCATGGAGTTTCTCCGTGTCTTGTGACTGCTTTTATCCCAAACTATCTTTTCAAGATGTCTGCATAGCAAACAGCCTTGGAAGATAGAGGTAGTGTCTCTCTCTGGGGCAGAGGGCAGATTTTATTTCCTGAGAAGTATGTCTCACACACATACACATAGTGTGCACAGCTTCTATGTAGGGTGTTCTGAATCACCCCTGGGGACAGAGAGGACCAGGGGAACTAATTCAAACATGAACCTTATGGTGCCTGCCATGCTACAAATAATAAAGTTCTTTGTCTCTGGCCTTCGAGTCTCGTGTCTTCTGCCAGCATTTATGAACCTATGAAACTATGGCAGACTAACTTGTTAGATTAACTTGCAAGAATGGTAAAATCTTGGACTCTTCATAGTTCTTGACACCTCTACACACACTGGACCATAAGTGCCCTGAGAGCAGGAAGTGCAGCTCAGTGGACTCTGCTTCCCCTATGGGTGACACAAGGTAGTTAGTTGCTCTTTAAGTAGTGGCTGCTACTAATGCTGCTTTGGTCTAAAGGGCTTTGATGTTTTGGGGGGTTTTGTTGTTGAGTTTTTTGTTTTTGAGAGAGAGCGAGCGAGCACACATGCAAGCAGGGCAGGGGCAGAGGGAGAGAGAGAATCCTAAGCATGCTCCATGCCCAACTCAGAGTCCAGAATCCGATGAGGGGCTCCATCTCACCACCCTCAGATCATGACCTGGGCCGAAATCAAGAGTCTGACGCTTAACCGAGTGAAACACCCAGGTGCCCCGAAAGGGCTGCTTAACTGATTGAGCCACCCAGGCACCCCAAAAGGGCTTTGAATGAAAGCATTAGAATGTATTTACTGAATCCAACTTTGAAATAAATTGCCATCATTCTTCTCCTGGTTATTAGGTATTGTGTACATTATTTGCATTACTAGAGGCTAGAGCCTCAGGTCTGTGTTTTGTGGCAAAATGAAATTCTCTGGGGGTTAAAAATGCTACAGATAGGGGCGCCTGGGTGGCTCAGTCGTTAAGCGTCTGCCTCCGGCTCAGGTCATGATCCCAGGGTCCTGGGATCGAGCCCCGCATCAGGCTCCCTGCTCCGTGGGGAGCCTGCTTCTCCCTCTCCCACTCCCCCTGCTTGTGTTCTCTCTCTCGCTGTGTCTCTCTCTGTCAAATAAATAAATAAAATCTTTAAAAAAAAAAATGCTACAGATAGTTCACAGCGTGAATAAGCCCTACTGCAGGTAATGGGGATAACTGAGCACAGACTAGGTTTTCCAGGAAGGTAGTGTGTTACGCTGCATCTGGGATGAGACCTCGGTCTCTGCCATTAGCTTCACAAAAGGCCAGAGCAAACAAGTTCCAGTGCAGCCAGGCTGATTTCCGCTCAACCTGTCTGAGCTTGAATGAAGGAATTAATCAGTGTTTTGGTGCCTGAGCAAAGACTCTTCCTTTGCTAACCCGTTACAGGAGCAGTTCCAACCATGACCAGGCAAGGTTGCTGGCTGGGCTTGCACACGGGAGGGAGTCCACCAGGATGCACCTGTAATCTGGGTTTGCCTTGTGAAGTCTATCTAGTTATCGTCTGGTTTAGGAGGAAGGTGGAATCTCGGCAGCATTTGAGCAGAGGCGGCTTTCAGAGCCAGAGGAGATGGGGTTTGGGGGAGGTTTTGCTCATTGTGTGTGGCTGAATGGCTATTAAAGACCACTTCGTCTCATTTAAACTTGTCATTTTATTGATGAGGAAACTGCGATATCGTAAGGATAAAATTCTAAGACTATATTTTCAGGGATCATTTCTATAGTTCGTAAGGATAAAATTCTGTGATGGGCGATTGATTCCAGAGCTTCAACTGACCCTATTTCTCATTAGACGGCTCATTTTTTCTTGTTCCCTTCGCTTCCTCACTCTTCGTGCACACTCAGGGAACTCGAGTGCAACATTCTAATGCCTGGTCAGAAAGATTCCTAAATTTTCTAGCAGGCTTGATTCATCAAGACAGCTCCGGTTGGGCGAGTGTGCAAAGCAGTCCGATCCCCTAAACCCGGAGGAGGAGGCAGAAGAGGAACCCAAAGGCGTGAAGCGAGGAAAAGGGGCGGGGCACCCTGAGGTAGGCTCAAATTTGTTCAGAGAGGGGCAGCCCAGGAGAGCCTTTCCCGCGGAGTCCGGCCCCGCATGGCAATTACACCTCAGTGCGAGGTGGACGAGGGAAGCGAGTGCGCTTGGGGCTGGAGGTGGCGCCCCTGGGCCGCATTCGCTCCCCCTGGGCCTGGAGAGAGAGTCTTTCAGAAGTGCACGCTGCACTTGCTCAGGGTAGACCCGGTAACGCTCTGCTGACTCCTTCCAGACGCCCCGTACGGAGACTGTCTCTGCAGAGTACGGGAACCACGGCTAAGGGGAGCTGGAGAGTTGTACGTGACCCCCGTGCTGCGCAGCCGCGCCCAGTGGCGCCCGCCCCGCGCGGGCACGCGCCTGACGCCCCACCCCGCCCCTGAGGAGCGCGCGCCGGGCCTCCGCCCCATCCCCCGCACGCGCAGTCCCTACCGCGCTGCCTCCGCCGTTCCCCGCCCCCTCGCCTTCGGGGCTGCCCTCGTCGCTGCCTGACCCGAGGTCCAGCAGCTTCTGCCTTTCCGGCCCCCACCAACCGAGAGAAGCAGCCCACCCCGGGGGCGGGGGTGCCTTCGGTCCTCGTGGCCGTTCTGGAGCAGGTTGGGGTGGGCAGAGGGCGGCGTTGCGGGGGCCGGCGCGACGGACAGCCGCGGGGGCATCGGCGGGGTCCTGGCGGGGGGAGGACAGGGTTGCGGCAGGCGGAACGGTGTCTCCTTCACTTCGCCCTCCAGCCGGGGAAGCTGCAGCCCGACCCTGAGCGAGCCCAGCGGCCTCAGCTGCAAGCGGAGCGGCGGTAGCGGCCCCTCTCAGGAGACCACCAGGTACGCTGCGCCCGCGTCACTTGGCTGCCTAGGCCCCGGCGGCCAAACAGGACACTTGAACCAGACTCGGGGTCGGCCCTGGCTCCCTAAGATGGCCGCGCTGCCCCGCGGCTCCTCGCCTGTCTCTGTTTGAGATCCCCTTCTCGCCCCTTGACCTGCCTCTGACCCCCGCTGACCGCACTTCTTGTCCCTCCCGCAGATCACCTCTTCCTGTGGCCTCGCCATGGCGACCTCCGGACAGAGCTGCGCGCGGCGTAAGTAGAGCCGAGATCTCTGCGGGATGGGGCGGGGTTGGCTGGACAGTCGAAGCCAGAAAACCGCAACTTCTTTCTCCTAATCTCTCCAAGGACTTGGAGGTTCTCCCCTTTCGGTAGCCACTCTACCGTCTGACTCCCCTCGCTCTGCGGAGGAGGGGCTGGGCTGCGAGATTTCGTTGGAGGGTCTAGGCCAGGGGAGTTGGGTCTTTGGCCGCATTCACTTTTAGTTCTTGGACGTGCCTTTGACGAACTCAGAAGCAAAAAGTTTCTAACTGTTGGGTTCGGCCTTTGGAGGATTGGGTCACTCTTTTAGAGGAAGTAGTAACCCCCTTTGTAAGAGCGCAAGGTCATGACATGTGCTCCTAAGGGCGTGGACGTGCTGTGTAGAATGAATGAGCTGGGTGTAACCACCTCAGATCGCTTGTCCTTAAGCCGCGTAGCATTGGCCGAGGACTTGAGTGCCATATTAATATGCTTAAAGTGCCAATTTGATATTTAGTTGATGTAGACACTAGTGAAACCCAGATGATCGTGTTTTTTTCTAAGTTCCAGCATTTAAAGGTCCATAGTGTTAATTACCTTTTTCTTCGCACTCTAGAATATTGGTTTAAGAACTCATTGAGGGCACTGAGAGATCTGTTGGGGAGAGGGCTTGTCTTAGGTTTTGGTTTTATGTCATTTGCTTAAATCAGCCCATTCCAGTGAATTTTGAATGCTATATCTGTGTGTATAGATATATTTATGTGTATGTGTTTGATTCTTTGTACTAGTTCGGTCCTAAGAGGTGAGAGGCTGTAGGTACTGTGTAAATTTAGGAATAGAACGTCTGTTTTTGGGGTTTTGGAAGGAATCTCCCAAATTTGTATAGCCACCTACTGTGGTTATCCATTTTAGAAATAAATCTTTATTGGTGATATTTCACGGATCATTATAGTTTTACTGTAGCTCCTGGTAGTATCAAAAACATCTTCAACAAGTTGGACTGCTTGAATTTAAGGATAGTAGTGGGTCATAGTCTAGTTCCTGGACAGAAAGTGGAAGAACAGAAAGGTTAACACTGGAATGTTTCTTCCCACCAGCAATGTGTATTCCTCCATCATATGCTGACCTTGGCAAAGCTGCCAGAGATATTTTCAACAAAGGATTTGGTAAGAATTTTTTTTTCCCCCCTTTCAGATCAGAAGTGAAAATGTGTTTGGATTGCTTGGGGAAATTACTGATTTTTTCAAATTGTAAATATCTTGCTGTATTAGTTCATTTTATTAGATATATTTTAGATAAAGTTTCTGTTAAAATAGTACTGTGATAATCCATATCTCCCTCTAGCCCGGTTTCCTCCACTTTTTTCAGACTGCACTTTAAGGATTTTATCTGTAAGAAAAAAAACAACTGTGCTTTCATTTCCTTCAGATCTAGTTTAGGCCTTGGTTGACTAGAATTATGATGTATTACTGTTTTGCTTTTGTGGTGACTCCTAGTGGGTTATGAGTTTTTTAAAATGAATTTGGGTTTTCTTCTGGCAGGTTTTATTCCACATAAACTCCCTCTACATTATTTCCCTAGTTATTTAGATTATTTATCCCAAAGGAAGATACCTTTTTGGGATAATTGTTTTAAATGGCTGTATTATAATAAACTATTGGCTATTCTGAGATTTAAGTTGAGTTGATTTTCTGATCTGATATTTAGGTTTTAAAATGGTTTGAAAGCAAATTTTTTTTTTTGCCAAGTATACACCAGCACACTAGGCAAAGCTGCATAGAGATGTTCTGTGCTGTATATATTAGTTTATGTAGGATAATTAAAATTGTTTTCATTTAAATATGTTGTATCATTCCACATTTTTATGCCCCTCTGAATGTATGAAGTCTTGCTGTTTTTTTTTTATGTGTTGTCAGCTATTGGTATGCATCTTTTATACAAAAGAATCATTTTGATATCTTTTGCTCTCTACTTGAAGGTTTTGGGTTGGTGAAACTGGATGTGAAAACAAAGTCATGCAGTGGTGTGGTGAGTGTTAGATAACTCATAAATTTTGATGACCCTTTTATATAATTTTTCAACCCATAAAATAGTCACCACTGAAAAATGTCTACCCATTTATCTTGAAGAGGCAGAAGTTAATTTTGTTTTAAGGGATTTGAATGAAACTTGATTTACTTGGGCTTTGGATATGATTTCTGATTTTCAGGTGGTCCTTTGCCATATTACTGTGCATGCATAAGGAACTCAGAAAAGACTGGTTCTTTGGGACTGTTTACTCAGTAAGATTACAAGCTTGAAGTCAGGAAACCTGTAACACCTTTTTGTAATCCTTACTTTTTATGTCTAGTAAGCATTATGAGTTCTGGGCATAAAAATACTCAGTAACTTAATTGAAGTGTACTAATCATTTATATAAAGGGCATATTCTAGCAGCCTTCTCTGGAAGATTTCCATGTGAATTTAGAGAGTCCTGATTTGACTATTTTTAAAGATGGTAATATTTTGGTGTTTGGATCTCTTGATTCTGCCTAACTCAAAGTAAAATAAAATTTAATTTTGTGGAATTTTTTTTTTCTTCAAAAAAATTTTGAGACTGGGAATGGGTATAGTGTGTGAATATTGAATATTGCTGGTTATTTTGATAATTTCTTGCTGTAATTGTTAACTCCCTTAGTGCATATAACTGATATTTATTAAAATTATTCATGTTGTAACTTCTTAATGCCCAGACTTGGATTTCTGGGGTTTTGTATTGGGTCATATCTGTCATTTGGCTTCTTTGGTCTGGAAGGGAGCCTGAGTATATTCTCTGTGGTTGAGCGATTTACTTGCTCAAGGTACAGAGCAGTGACTTAGTGTTTGTTTTTTGTGTTCCCACTCTAAAACTCTTGAGGTCCCTTATAAACACTTGCTGTGCACTAGTTGAGACACAAAAGGCCTTCCAAAAGGAAGACTCAATCCTTGTGTTTAAAAAGCTTATCACTTGCTGGTTGGAGATACAAAATAAATTTTAAACTGGGGAGCACTGAGAGAAGCACGTCTAGTACTAGATTGGTTAATCATAATCTTTGTTGGAGAGAAAAGGATTTTTGTGGACAGGGTTAAAGTTTTATGGAATTAGGTTTGAGATCTTGAAGGATATATATGATCTGGATTCCATATAGTTTTTTTGATTTCTGTTTAATGTATATCTCAATGTGGTACTGATCTTGTAGTATGTACCTGGCTGCAAATAAGTCCTATTAACAGCTGGTTCTGTTTTCTCATGTAAACTGCAGAGGTGTCCAGTTCATTCCAGAATGTAGAAGCCAGAGTATTTGGTGATGGAGTGAAGGGTGTAAGCTTGGCCATGGTATCTTCTGGCCCAATTCGGGTCCCAGTGTATGATCTTGATTTTGTGTCTTGAGGATTCCTGGGTTTATATAGGCTGGCTCATAATCTATAGGCTGTCCGGAGGCAGAGGGTGGGGCCTCAAGAGTCATTAATCATTGTCATTCAGGATTAAAAATATCTACTTCTACACATTCTCCATTCCTAGTATCTGCTAGAAGAATATGCGCCATATGTATTGTTTTAATAATGCTTTTCTTTTGTATAGAACACAGGAAAATGTGCAAAGCTTTCATAGTGCCAGTCCAACTTAATCCTCCAGCGGTAGATTTGTTTTTACACTTGAGGAAACTGAGACCCAGAAAAGTTTTAAGCGTCTTCCTCAGTGTTATTCATTTAGCAAATGACAGCCAGAACTAGATGCCAGGACTCCTCTAATTTTATATCCAGTGTTTTTTCCTAACATAATCCGGTGCTTTTTAATATGGGCGTTGAATGCCAAGCTTTGACTTGAAATTCCTGTTAAAGTGTCTTATTTCAGGAGATTGAGTCTGTCTTACTGCAGAGCAGTAGTTATACAAATGTTTTCTAAGTGAAGGATGATTGGCTTTTTCTCCTATTGATACAGTTTTTGGTATTTTCTCAGTCTTGCAGGCATCACAATTTCAGGTCGAGTTTTCTTTACTAGTTTGGATCAGCTGTTTTCTTTAGATTTGGCTTGTCAGTGGCCAAAGTATGTAGCCATCATTAGCAGACAAATTGTGAATCAGAATGCTCAGATGGTATTTTACTCTTTTGTCTTGGAAGTTTGCCTATCTACCGAGCTAGATGTTCTGTAGCAGATTTTAAATTTCAGTAAGCCCTCCATATTATGCCTTCCTTTTCACTTGGTGTGCACTTAGTTATTTGTATTTGCTATAAACATAAGATTATATAATGCACTTCAAATTGATACCTGTATTAAGTGGATTGGTTTTTAACTGATATTATCTATTGTACTTAATATAGTTTACATTATGCATGATATAAACCAGTTGTAGTATAAATCTCTTATAATTCCCTTTCCCTACTTTTTTTCTTTTTAAATGAGAATGTTCAAGATTGTTGGGAAGGTGTGAAATCTGGTGAAGACTCTTTATCTCAGAAAAACAGAATATTGGGGTTACCAAAGATTTTAAATCTTTTCTCATGGGATGACCTCCTACAATGGGGTGCTTTCCTTTTAAGAATTTTCAGGAAACAGATTCGCCTGGGTGGCTCAGTCAGTTGAGCGTCTGCATTTGGCTCAGGTCATGATCCTCTCAAGTTGAGCGCCTCGGGTTCCCTGCTCAGCAGGGATCCTGCTTCTCCCTCTTCCCGCTCTCCACTAGGGCCCTCTCTATCTCTTGCTCTCAAATAAATAAAATCTTAAAAAAAAAAAAAAAAGAATTTTCAGGAAACATTTCCTAATAGTGCGTCAGTTATTATGAATGCTCATTTTAGTGATGGGGGTCTGTGATTAACCATACTTTCCTTTATAGTGTTTTATTTAATATCAGGCAGATTGGATACAGTACTAAAATGTTCGTTCCTCCCCTCTCCCATCCTGATTCTTGAATTCCAAATAAAATCACCTTAGCGGAAGTTTCCTTAAAAGGTGTTCAGTTTGTTTGTTGAGAATTAGATACAGGTTCACTTTTCGTTGATCGGTTGAAAATGTAAGTAAGTGTAAGTAAGGTGGCAGTTAGTAACTGACAGGCTAATTTGTTGTTTTTGTACATATAGTAGCAGAGTATAGAAGTATTTGGGAAACTAGAAAAAAGGATTAGTGAAATTACTGTGTTTCAGTGGGCTTTTTGTGTAAGTTAGGCAGTGATTCTTCCAGGCTTACAAGAAAGTTCACGAAGTCATTTATTGTCTTACTAGGAATTCTCAACGTCTGGTTCATCTAATACAGACACTGGTAAAGTTACTGGAACCTTGGAGACCAAATACAAATGGTGTGAGTATGGTTTGACTTTCACAGAAAAATGGAACACTGATAACACTCTGGGAACAGAAATTGCAATTGAAGACCAGGTAACATTTTGAACATGTGTTTTAATATTAGTTTATTTTTGTATTCCAGAAAGGAAATATAGCTGAAAACAAATTCTTTTTCTTTCAAAATAGATTTGTCAAGGTTTGAAACTGACATTTGATACCACCTTTTCACCAAACACGGGGTAAGCATGGACAGACATTTTTGTTTGCTTTAAATTTCATTTTTATCTTTAAGTAATCTCTACAACCAATATGGGGCTCGCACTCACAACCCTGAGATCAAGAGTCGCATGCTCTACCAACTTGAGCCAGCCAGGTGCCCCTTTATCTGCTTTAAATTTAAAAGCATTTCTCTCCTGTTTCTTTAGGAAAGATGCACATTTAGTGTTTGATAGCTTACTTAACTGCCTTGTGGTGGTGAATTTCTGTTTCTGCCTTTGGAGCATGATGAGTACTATGGTTGCTGTGGTTGGCTTCCCTTCAGATATTTGCCTCTTTCCATTGTGGACTAACTTGGGTAATTAACATGTTTCTAATAGGCTTTGTGACTGCTTATTAGTCCTGCAAAAGCAGTCTTCTCATGGTGGTGGAAGTAATCCCATGTACCCTTGTTTTTAAGCTCATTGAGCTATATTTTCTTTACCTCTTAGGATTATGCTACTACTTTTACTCCCCAGTTACACTGCAGTGCATAAATTTGTCTTGTGCCCTTTGTGCAGAAGTTATGTATGTAAATCTTTCCCACTGGCATCAGTTTTAAGTCAGTTTGTTCTTTTTTCAGAAAGAAAAGTGGTAAAATCAAGTCTTCTTACAAGAGAGAGTGTATAAACCTTGGTTGTGATGTTGACTTTGATTTTGCTGGCCCTGCAATCCATGGTTCAGCTGTCTTTGGTTACGAGGGCTGGCTTGCTGGGTACCAGATGACTTTTGACAGTGCCAAATCAAAGCTGACAAGAAATAACTTTGCAGTGGGCTACCGGACTGGGGACTTCCAACTACACACTAATGTGTGAGTATCTCTTTTCTGGGATTATTGTGATGTAGGACCTGGGGATGACGTTGATGTCACCTGTCGGCTCTTATGAATCTAGGTACAGTCTAAAGGATTTCTCTTAACACAAAAAGATCATCATCCTTGGGCATTTCTGGGCATGTCTCAAAGTATATAGTAAAAAATGTCAGTCTGACTTTTCAGTGCTGAGAGAGTAATTGTTTATTTTATATGAGGCTTGATGTGCTTTGGGTTTTTAGAAAAGGCTAGGATGTTACCAAATGACCAGTGTGTTCATTTGACTTAATTGTGATATGTGAGGTACTGAGTTGATGGGATTGCCTAAAATGTATGGTGTTTTTACCTAACCCATATTAGATGTATATGTGAAAAGGACTTAATTTTTTCCCTTATAAAATAAAGGATTGGTAGATAACAGAAGTACAAAGAAGAAACCCAAAACTTCTCATGGCCCCACCACCTAGCTAATATAATCTTTGTTAGTTGTTAATGTTTGAGAGTTTCATCTTTTTTATGTGTGTGTGTGTGTGTGTGTACACACACATACAAAATGCATACCAGGCTGGTTTATAATTCCTTCCTACCTTAATACATTTTAATAATTTTACTGTAGCATTATGTATTCTACAACATGATTGTTAGTGGCTGTGTGGTAATTCTGCTGGATGGATGTATCATGATTCATATGACCTCTTATTTTGGGGCATAGGTTGAGATAAAGACCTTTTAAAACTTTCACGTTTTCCGTGGAATACTACAGACGCGTGTGAGCAATGCCTTTTATTTAATTATAATGCTACAATATCAGCTTAGTGCCATAGACATTACATTGTCTATTCTAGATTTACAAATTTAAAATATCTTACAGCAATGATGGGACAGAATTTGGAGGATCAATTTATCAAAAAGTATGTGAAGATCTTGACACTTCAGTAAACCTTGCTTGGACATCAGGTACCAACAGCACTCGCTTTGGCATTGCAGCCAAATATCAGTTGGATCCCACTGCTTCCATTTCTGTGAGTACTACTGTGGGCTTAGAATGGGGTCTTTGGTTGTGGGAATTCCATCTTTGGGTATATTGTGCTGAAAATTTGAACTGTGGTTCACACAATCCCTAGTTGACTCACAGATTGGGATTAGAATTTGTAATGCTGCATGCATTTTTTGTGGAGGCAGTGTTAGAAGTTTGATATCCAGGTCACAGGAGTTTAACTCAAAAGCTGCTCAGTTTAGTGTAGATGATAACCCTGAGCTCCAAGCTGGTCTAAGCCCAGGGAAGCCACTGTTTTGGGCCCCAGGCCAGGAGTAATAGTATTTTAATTGTTACTTTGTCTTTCTGTGTGGAAAGTACTTTGTTACTTTGACTTTGTCTTTAGGGTTTACAAAACATTTTTTAGATTTGATCTTAGGGGTCAGTGGTGCAAATGCCATTTTGCAGGTGGAGATACCAAAGCTTCGAAGGAAAAGGACTTAGATCACTGCTAGGGAAGGAGAGCGGGAAGAAGGGCTTGCATGTCTTTTGATTTCCCTCCTGTCTAGGGTGACCAGCTAGCTCATCCTGCTTTGCCTGAGACTATTCCAGCCTTAGCATTAAAAGTCGTGCACCCCCCCCCAAAAAAAAAGGGCGCCTGGGTGGCTCAGTTGGTTGAGCGACTGCCTTCGGCTCAGGTCGTGATCCTGGAGTCCCGGGATCGAGTCCCGCATGGGGCTCCCTGCTCAGCGGGGAGTCTGCTTCTCCCTCTGACCCTCCTCCCTCTCATGCTCTCTGTCTTTCATTCTCTCTCTCTCAAATAAAAAAAAAAAAAGTGCACCCCAAGGACTCCCTCCTGCCTACCCTGGGTTCGCTGTGGTGGATGACCGCCCTGCTCCTGTCCTTGGGCTTTTCTGCTGCTTCCTCCTTCAGTCGTAGTGGGTTTGGGGCAGGAGGAAGTGCAGTGTCTGACTGTAGAGGCGCTGGCTGTGCTTTCAGCAGCTGTTCTGCGTTGCGTGTTAGGTCAGGCACTGCCTGGTACTGTACGTACTGGGAATGAAAGAAAGTTAAACCTTTCTGTTACATAAAGTGATAATTCATTTCTGAGAGCAATGTTTTTTGAAAATTTGGGCAGTTAAGCTTTAGCCCCATTCTTATTTTATGTTAGCAGCTGTCATCAGAGAGCATGGGAAGCATCCAGAATGCTTGTCCCATTGGCAAGGCAGTGATTCATTTATTTTTCCCTACTCTGCTTCTCACTGCACTGTAGCAGTGAAAACCTTAGGATTCACACAGTACACTACTCCCTGGTAGCTACGTTGCTCTTCTCTTCAAATGTATGTCTGTGGCAGCAACACGGATTTAATGCGAGCCAGTGTAGTGCTCTCATAGTCTAAAATGGGAAGGCAGCTTTGGATCTGTGTGCCATTGAGTGACTTCTGGGGACTCGTTTGGAAATGTATCTAGTATTTCCCACCCAAGTATGCTGCTGTGCCCCCAATTAAGCATCACCCCGAAGTATTGCTTAATGTCCCATCACAGTTTGGTAGTTTACTTCTATTCTAACAGGAGAAACTTGTATCCAGTTGTCTGAGGCTCTTAATTTGTTGGGCACAAGGTGGTCACTAGTGGGGCATTTCTTCCTTAGACTAATAGCTCACTTGGTTATTGGTGGCTTCTGAAGACTTGGCTATCCTGCCATGTGAACACAGGTGCTGTTTATGTGACTTCTGCCTGTAGTTACATATTTCTCTCTGGACTGTTTCGATGTTACACATTATAAAAGAGTGAAGACATCAAATAATTTCCAATCTGTTTTGATCCCAGAGGCTGTCACCTTTTTACTACCAAGAATATTGTGTCCTACTGACAGTTTGACTTGGAGTTTAATGGATAAGAATTAAGTAGCACCTAGCTTCTGTTTGGCTTAGTAACAGTGTTAAATTTTATTTATTTTACTTCTCAAATGTTATGAAATCTTTATTTTATACAAGTCTTTTTCTAATTTAAATTCAATTAGCCAATGTATAATACATCAGTAGTTTTTGATGTAGTGTTCATTGATTTATTAGTTATGTATAACACCCAGTACTAATCACAGCACGTACCCTCCTTAATGCCCATCACCCAGTTACCCCATCCCTCCACCCACCTCCCCTTCTGCAACCCTCAGTTTGTTTCCCAGAGTCAGGAGTCTCTCATGGTTTGTCTAAATTTTGTTATTTCACATGTGAATAAAAAAGTGGAACACTTCATAATTGTATAGTAGGGAAACCTGCAGGGGCTTTGTCTCTCAATTCAAAAATTTTTTTACAGCTGTTTTTGCATTTTATTTCAGGCAAAAGTCAACAACTCTAGTTTAATTGGAGTGGGCTATACTCAGACTCTGAGGCCTGGTAAGTATTCTTGATAAGTAGGATTGGTGTTTTGTTTGTTTGTTTTTTTTAAGTAGGATTGGTGTTTTAAAAATTATTTTTCATTTCTCAGGTTCTTTGTAAACCTTTCAGAGAGTACGATGAACACGTTTACCTTTTGCCACAGTTTTATTTATTTATTTTCTTTTGCTGGGCTGTTTGGAAGTTGCAGCTATCCTGACACTTCCCTAAATGCTTAAGCATGCGTCTATTCAGAAATGAGAACGTTCTGGTCTCCTGCATAACCATAATACCATGATCACACCTAAGAAATTTAATAGTTAGTCCGTATTATTATTTACTCTCCATTCTGTAGTCACTTTCCTCATTTGTACCTGAAATGCCTTCTAGTATTGTTTATTTCTCTAATCAAAGTTCACTCATTGCTTTCATTGTTTGGTCTCTGTAGTCTCATTTACTTTTTTTTTTTTTTTTTTTAAAGATTTTATTTAATTATTTGAGAGAGAGAGAGAATGAGAGAGAGCAGCACATGAGAGGGAGGGAGGAGGGTCAGAGGGAGAAGCAGACTCCCTGCCGAGCAGGGAGCCCGATGCGGGACTCGATCCCAGGACTCCAGGATCATGACCGGAGCCGAAGGCAGTCACCCAACCAACTGAGCCACCCAGGCGCCCAGTCTCATTTACTTTATGTAGTATTTTGAGCCTTGTATTTTCTAGAGCAGTACTTATCAGACTTCAGTGTGCGTGAGTCACCTGGGGACTCTTGCTAAAATGTACATTCTGATCTGGAGTGAAGGGTTCTTTCTAACAAGCTCTTAGGTGATGCCAGCATCACTGGTTCTTGCCACCATTTGAATAGCAAGTTCTAAAGCACTTGGAACTTTTACCCTGTTCAAATAGGGATATTCCCCCAGACTTTGTATTTTGGCCTTTTTGAAACCTAAAAGACAAGTACGAAGAACACCTGTATACCCTTCCCACATTCACTAATTAACATCTACCACATTTGTTTTCTCTCCATGTCTGCATACATAATCCCTTTTTTCCACAGTCTCTTTTCAGTTATTTAAATGTATGTTTTGCGGACATGCAGACAAATCTACCCAGCACGCAAATCCCAAGAGTGACATTTTTCTTCATAACTACAATACCACTGTCACAGCTAAGGAAATTACCATTAGTTGAGCAATACAAATACGTAGTCTATATTCAGTTTCCCCCACTTGTCTCTTTATTGTAGTTGTCCTGGTCCAATTATGATTGTCTTTTAGTGTCTTACAGTCTGGATAGTGTTTTGAATGTTACTGTATTTTCTAGAGCACTTTGAACTTATTTTTAATGTTCTGTGACTTCACAGATCCCTTAACCTAGGATGGGACCACCTGAATTCTGTCTGGTATCTCTGGGACTCCCAAGTACCCTCTGGTGGTTGGCACTAATAGGTCATTTAGCAGGCTGAGGGAGGGACAGGCAGGCTCTGGGGTGATTATTAAAGACTGCAGACTCTTGAGGTGTTTCAGGCAAATCATGGTTGCCTGCCTTTTTTTTTTTTTACAGGTGTCAAGCTTACACTGTCTGCTCTGGTAGACGGGAAGAGCATCAATGCTGGAGGCCACAAACTTGGGCTTGCCCTTGAGTTGGAGGCTTAATCCAGCTGAAAGAAACCTCTGGGAATGGATATCAGAAGATTTGGCCTTAATATATTTCCAGTGTGACCAGCAGGCTCCCCCCTCCCCAAGAAGGTGATCAGATCAAAGGATGATCTAAACAAGAGCTGTATTTTAAATATTTAGACAGTTACTTGTTAGCTGGTTTCTAGTTGAATTGGTTATCTATCTAGTTACCAATGCTGCAGTCGTGCAGTGACCTATACATTATTTAAATGTATTTAACTGTTAAATGCGCTACCCACCAATAATGAAATAGACCTTTATGAAAACTGTGCAATTGTGTGCATGTTTATTTTTATGTTCCTATTAACATTGAAAATTGCCATTGAACGAGATGGATCAGTGGAAGTTTTTAAGATGAGGTTAAAAAATTTTTGTTAAATTCAGCCCATCATTAGAATTACTTTTGGTATCCCCAGACATTACAGATTATGAATAAAAACAAGTATACATAAATAATGACTCCAAGTATTTGCAGAGTTTAAACATTTGCCAGGGTCAGCTCTCCCTTGTTTCTCACTAGTACCTTATTTTTTTGGTGAGCGTTTTGCTTTTTATCTAAATCTGTGCCATAAAGTCCTCTGTGTCCCTGAAGTAACTCCACAAACTTTTTGGACTCCAATAAAATAAGAGGATATATGCCTTTATATTTCAGTTTGTAAATTTGTCCAGAATTCCATTGGATCATTGAAGAGATGGTGCTGAAGGCTGCATACACACACCATACCCCTGTGAGCTCTTGCTGTGGGAAGTGAACTAGGCCCTGGGTGGGGTGGGGCGAGGTGTAGGCAAATGGAGTGAGGGGTCAGTAACCAGAGGGACTTGAGAAGGGAGTATATGGGCCTCTGTGAGAGGTCATGAATCATTTCTTTCTAGGCAGACACTGAAACGGTTGGGCCTAAGTGTGAGACCAGAATCTGCCTTCAGGCTTTGTGGCCACTGGCCTTCATCTGCACTGGGGCTGAATGACAGAAAGTAACAGATGATTCTGGTTGGAAAAGTAGGAGACAGCAAGTGTTTTTGATGGGAGAAGATAGTTTGAAGGGTGTGCTCAGAGGTTAGAGAAGGGAGAGCTTTATTCAACACATTTATATTGTTAGACCTGAGGTACCATTTGAAGCCTAAGAGGGAACAGGTAAGAAAATGTACTCTGAGACTCATTACCCAAAAAAGTGATACATGCTGAAAATTTCCAGGTCAGAAAGAATCTGATGAGAGATTAGAAGCTCAAGCAAGCTTTCCACTCTGGGCGATAAATGTTTGTGCTAAGGGACTGGCAAGAATGGCCTGTGTGAATAAGACACATGTGATTTAATGGCAGACAGTTGGAATTTGAGCCAATCTGCTTGAGTCAGGATCTTTTGCTAGGTCAAACAAACAGGAAGAGATGCCTGCAAGTTAGGTGTGAAAGCACATCTGCTTTTGGGATTCTCAAGAGAGGTGTGAAGTAGATCAGCAGACTATCTCTGAAAGTCCACCTGGTGGGGAGGAACTGGTCATAGGCCTGTGACTTCTGAAGCCCCCTGGATGACCTGCTGCCCCAGAGCTAACAGGTGGCCTTCCCTCAGCTGTGGCTGGATTTTACCTGGTCCAGTACTCGGGATTGGGGTGTGGCACAAATGAGCAGTTGGTCAGAGAGATGTTTAAGAGTAAAGTGGACGTATTTACCCAGGTGCATCCTGTAACGTTTTTAGCATGGGGGAGAGAGAAGGTTCCTGGGCCCTGTGGGTTGCATAAAATGCCAGGTATGTCCCAGGAGGTGTAGGATTATGGAATTTGCCAGCTATGGGCCCCTGTGGCCTTATTTCTAATAGTCTCCAGCTTTATAGCACCCAGGCCTAACCCAGGGGTGGCAAAACCTAATTGTATTCTAGGCTGATGCAGTTAGTCGAAGAACACTTCATATTTGCACCTTATACTCATCTGTGTTGGTGTGGAGATAGGATCTTCCTGTGGGATTGGGATTAGGGCTGTCTAAATGGAGAGAAGTGAAGAACCTGGCTCCCTGTCCACCTCCTCTCCTAGATGTTGGGTGTGGGAAAGCCTAACTATATTCATCTTCCTGTGGGGAACTTTTTAAAAAACTGCCATACTGATAGTCTCCTACCTCTAGGCCTGTCTACTTCACACCTTTCTGGCCAGTGATCCCACCCAGTCCCTCACCTTCCTCCAGGACTTCAGGGGGAGGACAGGATATATACTCCAACCTTGAGGTCCTCAGGTTTAAGTCAAGTGGCCTGGTTCTCAGAGGTGATGTCCACTGAGCAGAGCCTCCACTGCAGAGGTGAGGTCAAGCTGACAGTTCTGTGAAAACATGGGCAAATAGAACTGGCATAACCTATGAAAGCACCCAGCGGCAAACCTGGTCTGCTCTAAGGTTGTTTCCTGTTGTCAGACCCCAGATAGGGTTTCCCAGCCAGTCCCAGCTGCACCAAACAAGACCTTCATTCACTTGCCCCTCCTAGGAAGTGGGAGGGAGACCTAGGGGTTGGGGTTCTACCCAGCTGCCAGCCCTCAGATCCTGTGGAGTGTGGGCAAACCTGAGGAGCTGGGGTCCTGTATGTGGCCAGGTCAATCAAAACTTTATTTCCTGCTACCAGTCAGCTGGAAGCTCCTATTCAGGCTATGGACATGTGCCAGGTGGCCCTCAGGACTGTGCCAGGGAGGGGATGACGTCTATGACCTCAAGGCCCCCATTTGCTTTAGGACCTGCCAGTGCTGGGCCTTCCCTCCCTACCCCACTTTTGCGCCACATACGGAGGCTCAAAAGATTGTGTCCCAGGCCCCACTTTATTGTCGAATTTAAAACTCAGGGTTGATGTCTGGGGTTCCCAGGTCCCCTCCCTTGAGGCCACCCGCTGGGGGCCGGCCCTAGATCTTGAAGGCTAAGGTGAGGCCGTCGCCCAGAGGCAGGAGGCTGATGTGGACCCTGGCGTCCCGCAGGATGCGCTCGTTCAGGTTTCGCACGCACTGGGCCTCCGTGTTCCCTGGTTGAGGCTGTAACACCTCTCCGCGCCACAGGACCTGCGGGGGGGGCGGGGCATCACGGGGAGGGGGTCAGGGCCGAGGGGGGAGGTGCCTAAGGGAGAGGCGGGGCGAGGGAGGGGCTTACATGCATGAACTGGGCGGGACTTTGTGGCATGGGGGCAGGGCACGGGGAGGAGCCAAGTGAAAAGACAGAAAACCCAGCCCCGGGAGGGTTCGTTCTTCCCCTTACACTGAGGACCGCCAGGATGCCTCCGGGGCGCAGCAGCTGCAGGCACCGCTCATAGTAGGCGGTGCAGTTCTCCTTGTCCGCGTCCACCACGGCCATGTCGAAGGTGCCGGCCTCGCCCGCGGCCAGGAGCTCATCTTGCGGGGGAGGGGGGGGGCAGATGCGGCTGAGTCCGCAGCCCCAGCGGTCAGAAGCCCCTGCCCAGGCCTGCCCAGGCGCTGTGACTATTCAGGGACTTTGGCCTGGAGGGGCGCCCTGCCACCCAGCATGTGGCCGCATGGCAGCGGCGAGGCCAGGAGGCAGGGATCTGTCACTGCCCCAAGCCCGCCCAGCGGACCTGGTCACTAGCTCACGCCCAGTGGCCCCACTTGGAAAATGGTGCCAAGGCCCCTTCCACTCCGTTGCTCACCCAGGGTCTCCAGGGCGGGCTTCAACCGAAGGTCGATCTTGTGCTCCTCCTCAGCCTGCGGAAGGAGTGGGGTCAGAGCCAGCAAGTCCCTTCTCCTGGAGCTGGGAGTGGCCAGGCTCCAAGGGCCTGATGAGGGCCTCAAATGTGTGGGACACTCACCTGCCTCCACAGGGGCCGCCCCAACTCCGGGGGCCCCGGGTTCACCTCACAGGTCACCACGCGCCCGGCCGGGGGCAGCGCCAAGGCCAACGCTAGGGCTGAGTAGCCTGTGAAAGTACCTGGGGGCAAGGGATACGGACAGGCTCAGGCCAGAGTAGGGGGACATCCCGGTGACTTCGGCCCCCGGTGATCCCGGCCGTGCGCCCTACCCAGGTCCAGAGCCTTCTTGGCCTTGATGAGCCGCGCCAGGTTGGCCAGAAGCTGGGCCTGCTCACAGGTCATCATGGAATCTCCCTGCGGCTGCTCCAGGGTCAGCTGTGTCGCGGTGGTGGAGGGGAGAGGGTCGCGCCAGCACTGCCAGGCACCCAGCTCCTCCCCGGGTCCACAACCCCCTCCAGGTGCGCGGTCGTGGGGCGTGGTCCCGGGACGGGCCCTCAGGGAACGCCCACCGCGCCCAGCCGGCGGTGTCCCGGAAGGCCCGAGAGCGCCAAGGCCCAGCCCAAGGTCACACAACCACGTGGGACCCGCTGGGTCCGAGGTGGGCGCCTGTTCCCGCCCCTGGCCCTGCTGACCAGTCGCAGGCTCCGCAGCGCCGGGTGCTCCCGCATGGAGCGGCTCAGCAGATACTGCCACAGGGGACTGTCTTCAGGGGGCAGCAGGCGCTTCTCTCGCCGGGATCGCCAGGGATGGCACCGGTTCCCTGCCAGGGAGGGGTCCTGGGTCAGGGCCTGGGGCTCCGGGGCGCCAGGGCTGAGCTTCAGCCGCAGCCAGCCTCGAGGAGTCACGGGCTCGGCTCCCGCACCTGCCCTGCCTGCGGGGGCTCTGCCGGGGGTGGGGGGGAGGTCCGCGGGCCCCGCCCTACTCACCCAGGAAGAGGCCGGTGGCGAAGGCGGCGCCCAGCGCGGCCGAGCCCAGGGCCAGCGCGGCGGGCACAGAGAGCCGGGGTGCGGGTTGGATCATGGTGCGACCTGGAGGCAGCCACGTACGGGTCAGTTGGCTGGGGCTCCTGGGCCCGCACTGGGACCCGCCTGCCCTCCAGGCTCCGCCCTGTCCCGGCACTGTCCGCCGAGCTGCGGTCTCCAACGCCATCTGGCGACCGCACAGCTTTACTGCAAGTCCCACTAGAGCGAGTCGGGCGCCATCTGGTGGCTCCACTGGGAACTGCGCCCAAACAGGAGCGCAAGCCCAGCGTGCGGTGTCTGGGTTTTTCTTACCCGCCCCTGAGGTCTACCGTCCTGGGTCAGGGAGGAAGAATGTGATGCCCCTCCTGGGTATATGCTTCTTATTGCTCCTGTTTTTGCTGGGACCCTGGGGCATATGTCGGTGGGTGGGCCCTCGGTGTAACAGGGTAGTAATGAGTACAACGTGATAGAAATGACAGGAGCTCTGAGAGGGACTGAGAGAATTAGGGGAGGCTTCTTGGGGGAGATGAGTAAGGGTATCCGGTTGAAAGAGTGAAGGACCTGGTTTGGGGACAAAACCAGAAGTGGGGCTTGGGAGTCCTGAGACAGGTCTCATTGATGGGGCTCTGAGACAAGATTCTTAGAATCCTCCCCTTGGGCGCCAGACATGGGTGTGAGCTCTTGGGGCCATCATTCTCAACCTCAGTTTCCTTTGTGGAAAACAGGAACCACAGTCTTACCGCAACTGGCACCAGATCACACAACTTGGCACACAGAAGGTGCTCAGTAAATGGCAGCTGTTGGAGTGGAGATATTTTGGGGAGGAAAGTGATGGAAGGGCAGCTGAGGTCGGCTCGCAGGGCTGTTCTGCAGGGACACGATCCAGTGAGCACTGATGGAGCCCCTTCTGTGACTCAAAGTGGGGAAGGGGAAAGAAGCTGCGCTGGCGCGTATTCTTAGGGA